TATTATTATTATTATTATTATTATTATTATTATTATTATGTTAAGTAAGCTCTTTGCCCAACATGGGGCTTGAACTCATGACCCCAAGATCAAGAGTCACATGCTCTACTCACTGAACCAGTCAGGTGCCCTGGACAAAATAAAATTTTAGATAAAATATTTTCTAAGGTCTATTTTCTGACACATTTTCTGGAAATTAACTAATAACAGATGGGATATTTGAAATGCAAACAACAATTAGAGCATTAATTCCCAACCCAATGAGTTTTGCCACATCTTTTTGCTCCAGTAAACCCTAGAAATATTGGGAAATATTACCACATACTCAAAGGCAAGTTAACTTTAATCACCTTAATTTAAACAACATAAGCCATAAATCACTTATAAAGTAGGGAGTAGGGTTGTACAATCAAGTAATAACAGTGCGGTAAGTCCCAAAAGATGGAGATTGCTGGATCAGTCTCCTGTATGAGAACCAGAATGAAGTGCAACAATGAAATATTCCATCTCTTTCCATATATCAGAAGACTATTCTTAAAAAGCATGCATTTTTTTGGTCTTTATTAGTGGTACAATAAAGCCACTTTGTCCCGATTGATTTGTTTGAATCACGACTATTCTTTCCTTTCCAAAACACCACTGAAGAGGAATGAATAGTAGTTGCTAAGATCAACAATCTAAGTGGACAGTGAGTAACAGTGAGGGGCACACCTTGTAAGCTGGTGGCTTCAGCTCCTGTGAGTCTCAAATTTCACAGATTGGTATTTTCTAACATAGAGAGTACATGTTACTCCTCATTGTGAGGAGTCAAAGCATCGGCTTGAAACATGTTACATTCCAGCAAAATGAACAGTCACCAGGCTTACTGGGTAGTATATCCAGCAGACTCCATGCCGAATGTTATCTTTGTATTGCCCCTTGAAGATCAGTCTCCCATCCGTGTCGTACTCCTGGGCGGGACCATTCAACTCTCCGTCTACATACGTGCCCTGGAGAACGCCTCCGTCCTCGTAAGTGTACACGCCCTGGCCCTGTAGGGCATCGTCCACATAATATCCCTCCAGGGTGCTGTGAGAGAAGGGAGAACAAAAGGGAATGGTCAGATCATGACTGTGCTCTCTGAAAAGAAAGGACCACATGAAAGGCACTGCATGCCCAGCTCTGGTTTGATGCTGACCTGTATTCAGCCCATCTCCTGAATTCCCTAGATCGCTGGGAAAAACACTCCCGAGATACAGGTAGCATTAGAGACAGAGAGAGATCTACTTCTTAACTTCCTGGTTCCTATTAATCCTTTTTCTCTGCTGGCAGAAATAAAGAAGAACAAGGGTACAGGTGGAAGCTGAGAACAAGCCTCATCTGAATACGTTTTAAGGCTAAGATGCCGACCCATACCGGGCAATAGAAATGGTGGCATATCACACATAAACCATTGATGTTTAACTCCCTCAAGAGGGGTCCAGACCTCACTGGTAGTTCTCAAGCTCTTTTAGATTGCTTGTACATATAAGTATCTAATAATACGAAAGTGGTTTAGAATGTAAATGTCTACGTGTTTGTTTAAGTCATTAAATGTATTACTTATGGGTGACAATCATAATTGGTAGCCAATCAAAGAACCCCTTCCATTTCTTTGGGTGATATATGGGAATTTACTTAAGTAAATGCGTGCGTGTGCATGTGTGCGTGTGCATGTGTGTGTGCGCATGATCAGGGCAAATGGGGGCAAGTGAGGAAGACTGCAGGCTGAGCCTTGCTAATATCATTAGTAGCCCGACAGTGTCGAGACCCATACTTCTAGAACAGAAGCAAGCTCACGGGGGTGCTCATGGTGATACTACAATAACTTCTCCATCGCTCCTCATAAAACACTTTTGGAATTTCAGTATGTTTTCAGCCTCTCAAAGGTCATTATGCAAGGAAACTAACTTCACCAAAAACTCCCTTTATGTACAGCAATTTGGAATAAGGGAAAGACCAGCTCAAATAAGTTTTAAAATTTAAAATGTAAGATGTTTATTAGCAACAAAGACAGTTTGTTTTAGTACCTGCAGATAGTGTTCATTCATCAATTCAACCAACAACCATTTATAGGTGCCTTCTAAGTAGCGAGCATTGTGGGAGGTTCTAGAGAGCATGATGAACAAAATAAACAAACAGGAGAGGCTGGCAGGCACACACTGTGTAGTGGGGACAGATGGGACGCAAAGGGGGCCGTGAGGACTAAGGTGGTCGCACCTGACTGTGCCTGGTAAGGTCTTGTCTTGCTTACTGAATGACAGAGTGAGCTGTAATTATTAAATGAAAAGCACAGTCTAAACAACACAGTAGCCCCTGATCACACTGTAATTATTATCAGTAGTCTCCCAAGGAGATAAATAGTTCTCTTTCAGTTTTGTTTGTACTACCAGTGATAAACAGGCAGAGTAAATTCATGAAGAGAATGAAGTGCACTTTAGCATAGCCCTTGCATAAGTAATCACCATTCTGTATCAGTGAGGTTGGAACTAATGAGATTCGACCGTCATTAGACTCCCCCAACAGCCAAAAAATAGGTAAATAAATACAAACAAAAATAACAACAACCCTGTCAAAAGATAGCTAAATCAACGGACGCAATGATGCAGTAGATGGTGCGAAAAACAACTTCGTCATCTATCTTCACAGTTAGGATGGGTGGATAAAATACAGGATGCTCAGTTAGGTTTGAATTTCAGAAAGACAACAGATAGTTTTTGTAGTTTAAATATGTCCCTAATATTGAAGGGAACACAGTTATCCTAAAATATTTCTCGTTGCTTATCTGAAATGCTGTTTTAACTGGGTGCTGTGGATTGTTATTTGCTAAACCTGGGAACCCTATTGACTAGATTCTCAGGGAGCATTCAAAACGTTCCTGTGTATGTTTGAGCAGAATTATCCCGACAGACGAGTCTGCCAGTATTTCTCAGGTTGAAGATCAAATCTACATGGCATGGGTCTTGCAAATCCCTGAAACAATAAAATGGACTTGCACATACTTCCCCATAACCATCCCCAGGAGTTTGTCCTATCCTCTTACTGTGGAGCCTGTCCTCGTTAGTATCATAGCACCAAAACAAACAGCTATTTCCCTCTTAGCCCGACTGACAAAGCTGCACAAATGCAAATTCTTTTTTAAAAAAGTTTTTTATGTTTATTTATATTTGAGAGACAGAGAGAGACAGAGTGCAAGTTGGGGAGGGGCAGAGAGAGAAGAGACACGGAATTTGAAGCAGTCTCTAGGTTCCGAACTGTCAGCACAGCGCCTGATGCAGGGCTTGAACCCACGGACCTTGAGATCATGACCTGAGTCCAAGTCGGATGCTTAACCAACTAAGCCACCCAGGCGCCCCCACAAATGCAAATTCTTAAGGCACCGGAGAGCAAACTTACTGCGTTATTTTTCAGCACCTGCTTGAAAGAAACAGCTTAGCCCCCTTAGCAAATTTGTATGATAGCTTGGATGAAATCTGATGACAAAAGGGGCATGTTATCACATGAACTGGGTTCTCTAGGGCCATAAAAATGACAACGCTTTGAAATCCTCTGTCACCGAGGAAAGAAAATAAAAGCTTCTTAGTCTGGTGTGAAAGGTTCTGCCATTCTAACTTTTTCTTCCAGGGGATGCTGGCAAGCCACGGTCTGCTGCCTGTTTGTGTAAATGCAGTTTTATTGCAACACAGCCTCGTACATTCCTTTCCGTGTCCTCTGTGGTTGTTTTCATATTATAACAGCAGAGTTGCAGAGTTGCACCAGAGACTGGATACGGTCCCCAAAGCCTAAAATATTTACCATCTCACCCTATACAGAAAATGTTTGCTGACTCCTGTTCTATAGTCGTCGCTCACACTGGTTTATTCGCTGAGCCCAAGCACACCTCTTTATATCTTAGCTTCCATACCATGAGATGCTTGCTTCTTCCTGTAAAATATATGTAACCAAACACTTTTTTGTTTTAATTTTTTTAATGTTTATTTACTTTTGAGAGAATGACAGAGAGACAGAGAGCGAGTGGGGGAGGGGCAGAGAGAAAGAGAGAGAGAAAGAGAGAGAGAGACAGAACCTGAAACAGGCTCCAGGCTCTGAGCTGTCAACACAGAGCCTGACACAGGGCTCGAACTCATGAACCCAGAGATCATGACCTGAGCCAAAGTTGGACGCTTAACCGACTAAGCCACCCAGGCACCCCTATAACCTAACGTTATAAATCCCGGAGGACACATCCAGGAAAAAAGTTGTGGGCCACATTTTCTGGTTTTTCATTCAAAACAGAAATAACCTTGGGATAAAAATGAGTCTTCTCAAGCCTCTGGCATTTTTCTATTCAAAAAAGAAATAAACTGAAAAAATGGCACTGTTTTGTGGCAGCTAAATTGTTGCTCTCTGAGAATACTTGAGAAGTAGCTTTCTAATCCTTCTTGCGGAAATTGGATTGAGAGTTGCATTTTGGAGGAAGTCTGCTAATCCTCGTTTACCCAGATCCTACCCACTCTCTGCATGGAACCCTGCTTCCCCTAGTCTACCTTGACCTCTGCAGCCATGGTCCATCTTTCTCACTGGAGCCTCATCATGAACCATCACAGGACTGTCCAGGTCTTTAATGATGGCCAACTTACGTGTCATATTTCTCTAGATTGTAAAACCTTTTATAGGAACAAATTAGGCATTATCCATCCAAGCATCCCCGCTCTAACATATGGACACAGCCTGTCTTCAAGTGGTTATTTTCTAAATGAAAGAATGGAAATGGAAACTGGGCTCATTTTGCTTTAAGAAGATGGAGAGGGAGCATAACAATAGTAACAATGTTACTCAAGTGCAGGGAGTATTCTCTATATGCAGTATACAGGCATACAGTCTGCAAGTTAGGAAAGTTTCTGAAACTCTGTGCTTCATTTCTTCAATTGTCAACTGCAGCTACTATAAGAATTAAATGGGTTAATATCTATCAAGAGTTTAGAAGATCGTCTGGGACATAGGGACTGCTCAAATAAATAATAACAATTATTATTAAACATGCACACTCATGGGTTTGACGGTGAGCTTTCTACTGAGAAACCAGGCTTAAAACAGCATCGGGGAAATAGTTACGAGATACTAGAATAGTCAAAGAAATGTATAAAACTGCTTTAAATGTACTTTAAAAGCAAGCAAGAAAAGGGGTGCCTGGGTGGCTCAGCTGGTTAAGCATCCGACTTTGGCTCAGGTCATGATCTCACGGCTCGTGAGTTCGAGCCCCACATGGGGCTCTGTGCTGACAGCTCAGAGCCTGGAGCCTGCTTTGGATTCTGATTCTCCCTCTCTCTCTCTGCCCCTCCCCGGCTCATTCTTTGTCTCCCTCCCTTTCAAAATAAATAAACATTAAAAAAAATTTTAAAAAAACAAGCAAGAAAGATTCCTCTATCTGCAATAATTTATGAGTGATCCATTGCATGGCAGGATGGAATAAATGCTCCTTTAAGTGAAAAAAGTAACGTGTATTCATCGCAAAACAAACAACAACAACAACCAAAAAACCCCAGCGCTACAAAGATGTATAAAGTAGAAATTCCCACTACTCTTTCTCAATTTGGCATGTACCACTTAAGATTTTTTCCCCCTGTGTATATATCATGTACTTTCCCACCTTTGTTGTGGCTGTTTCAATAAAAATGGGAACATACTAAATACAATGTTCTTGACTTGTATTTTCTTAAAGTCTCTTTCAACACGTTGGCAGTTTCTTTGGTATGTTAAACTACAAAAATGGTCTTTTGATTTAGATTTTTCTGGCACCAGCAACTGAATCAAGTAACCAGAAATGTGGAGAAAATTGAAACATCAATTTTAATTAAATTTCTTTCCCTACATATACACACAGACCATTTTTACCTATTTTGTCAAAGCTCTCATACTTAAATTTCTGGTAATAAATTACAAAAACTAACTTAAAAGAAATGGGGAATTTGTATAATTATTTATCTAGAATGACACATCTGCATTTTATTTTTTAATATTTATTTATTTATTTTGGGGGGAGAAGCAGAGAGAGAGAGAGAGAGAGAGAA